CTATATGTTAATCTCCATGTGTGCACACACTGGCTTATCGGCCCTATTTACATACCTTCTACGAGAGGAAGCTTTTGTAACATGCGCTCTCTTAGTTACATACTGTTTGCTTTAGATTTACAAATGGAATTAACCCTGTATGAAGAATCTACGCTCTTACGGAAAAAAAATTATCAAAGTATTATTTAGATGGCATTAGTTACTTTATTTGTTTAGCTTTCAAGGCTGCTGAGGTTAGTATGTTCTTTTAGGTAATGACCACAATCGGGAACTTCCGTTTTCACGATTAGGATCTTATGTCTAGCTAATAATAAAAATCGGAAATTTCTCTTCGAATCCTACGTCACGATAGGAGTGAGTCTTGTGAATTGACATTGGCGCACTTGTTGAGGATGAAGCATGCTGGACGGTGGCCGACAACCGAGGCATCGACCCAAAGCTTCGTGCTGATTGTGTATTGATTGGAGTGGCGCTGGTCAGAGGGATGTGTTGACCGTTCTCATTAGACTAATGCATGTCTTTACCTCCCTCTTTGGCTTCGTAAATGTTGTCTTAAGATCATCTAGATGTAGAGTTAGATAAATCGTTATTTTAGAAGCATATTTGCCGTCATTGTTGTCTCAAGATCATCTAAATGTAGAGTTTGATACATCGTTATTTTAGAAGCATATTTGTCTTCATTGTTGTCTCAAGATCATCTAAATGTAGAGTTAGATAAATCGTTATTTTAGAATCATATTTGTCTTCATTGTTGTCTCAAGATCATATAAATGTTGAGTTAGATCAGTCGTTATTTTAGAAGCATATTTGCCTTCATTGTTGTCTCAAGATCATATAAATGTTGAGTTAGGTAAATCGTTATTTTAGAAGCATATTTGTCTTCATTGTTGTCTCAAGATCATCTAAATGTAGAGTTAGATCAGTCCTTATTTTAGAAGAATTTTTGGTTTAATTAAAATTAAGTTATACAATATACTTAAGTACCGCCTCCCCCCCCCCCCCCCCTTTTTTTTTGCTTAGTAAATGTTGTCTTAAGATCATCTAAATAAAGAGTTCGATAAATCGTTAATTTAGAAGCATGTTTGCCTTAATTAAAATAGAGTTACGCAATATACATAAGTATTATTAGAGTTGTTATACAGTACTGTTATGCTGAGTTGGAGGTATAGTTATGTTATGGTTAGTGCATGTAGCTGGTTTCAGCAATTCTCTTATAGCTCTCGTTAGCCAGTATTAAATGCGGAATAGAAGCCATTGCTCCTTTGAACGGGTTTTGTAACATCTGCTGACAATACGTTCCCAACATATGGCTAGATCAAAGAAACAGATGAGCAGTGTTTTATAATTAAATGTTTTACTGATGGTTTTTTGTAAGTAACCGGCGTATGTTCTTTGGTTTAGATCAAAGCAACAAATTACGGATGTTGCTTTTTGCATTTATTTATGGGAGCAGATGTTTATTGAAACAAACAAAATAAGCCACGCCCACTTTTTTGCTAATTGAAATTAATTAAATATAGCCCACTTCACACCGGTGGAAAATAATTCGTTTAATGATTGGCTTGTTTGGAATCGACTTCCTGGCAAATGTCCGGCACCTTTCTATTGTCGGGAATCGTCTCTCTGTCAAATGTCCGGCACCTTTCTATTGTCGGGAATCGATTCTCTGGGAAATGTCCGGCACCGTGACTTATCGGAAATCGTCTCTCTGGCAAATGTACGGCACCTTTCTATTGGCTTGTCGGAAATCGTCTCTCTGGCAAATGTCCGGCACCTTTCTATTGGCTTGTCGGAAATCGTCTCTCTGGCAAATGTCCGGCACCTTTCTATTGGCTTGTCGGAAATCGTCTCTCTGGCAAATGTCCGGCACCTTTCTATTGGCTTGTCGGAAATCGTCTCTCTGGCAAATGTCCGGCACCTTTCTATTGGCTTGTCGGAAATCGTCTCTCTGGCAAATGTCCGGCACCTTTCTATTGGCTTGTCGGAAATCGTCTCTCTGGCAAATGTCCGGCACCTTTCTATTGGCTTGTCGGAAATCGTCTCTCTGGCAAATGTCCGGCACCTTTCTATTGGCTTGTCGGAAATCGTCTCTCTGGCAAATGTCCGGCACCTTTCTATTGGCTTGTCGGAAATCGTCTCTCTGGCAAATGTCCGGCACCTTTCATCATCTTGTTAAGCGGCATCAGCCAAGGTAAACTGTGATCACGGGTATATTCCCTTTGTTTACTACTCGTGACGGACGAGTTGTCTTCCCCTTGTTTTACAAGCCCCCCAGCCCCCAACTCCCCGCCCAGACTAAACAACCCGACGGGTTGGTTGTGTCAATACATGCATGGCGTCGCGATTGACGAACACGTCCTGAGATGCTGTTGTTGTTGGTGGTGGTGTGGTTGGGTCTTAGAGTAAGTCACGTGACAGTTGTGGCGGTGATCATTGATCAGACATTGACGCCATCATTTGCTCGTGTAATTCATGCCTAGCCTGGGGTGCTTGTAATCTTTTTTCAATAATCTTTTTTTTTTGCGTGTAAAAAATGCCGAGATAATAATATAATATATAATATCGAGGTTATTTTGACTTCAGGTATCGTATGTTAATGTCAGGGGTATGATTAGTGCTAGCTTCGGGGGTAGGAAGTTGGATTAGAGTCAAATATAGTATCAAGATTAGGACTGTATATTTGTAACAAATGCCGTTTTTTTTGTTCCGATTGGAATTTTTAAACGGCTCATGTTAACAACATATCCTGTATATTGGTAACAAATGCCGTTTATTTGTTCCGGTTTGAGTTTTTAAAGTCTCATGTTTACAACATATCCTGTATAGCAGTCGAGAAGCAGCTGTCTGGTTTCAACGGCCCCACCCTCACATACATCGCCATCTTGAGACACGGGTGCCAGAATTAAACGGCCCCACCCTCACATGCATCGCCACGGGTGCCAGAATTAAACGGCCCCACCCTCACATGCATCGCCACGGGTGCCAGAATTAAACGCCCCCACCCTCACATACATCGCCATCTTGAGACACGGGTGCCAGAAGTTGAGCAGCACCGACCCCCGGGCCGGATCCGTCTGATTTGGCACGGTCTGGCGAATCGATTCTCCATGTCGTCAGGATCTGGAAGAACGTGACACCGGACCGATCCACGTGTACATTGTCTGATTACTCGAATAATTCTCCCCCTCCCCCTCCACGTAATCGCTCATCTGATTACTCGAGAATAATCGGTTACGTGCCCTAAGTCGGTTATCGATGCGAATATGAAAATGTCAAACCGAACAAATTATGTGAAGATCTTTATTACCTGCTAAAGAAAAAGAGGGGTATTAGTTTTTTTTTAATTTTTATACTGCTGCTGACTGTGATTTGTATTGGAGCTGTTGGATGTGCCATCGCTTCTATAAACATTGACAGCTGAGCTGATTGGTGGCTATTTCTCGCCCGAGATTGTGTCGTAATTAATTTATAATGACACGCGGACATAAAAATAGACTTGATCGGTGTGGGAGTTGATAGGGGCGTTAACCCTTTGGTGATTGTAAAATATTTTGGGCCCTAAGCTAAACTTACTGTATTTCCAGGCGGCATTAGAACTCGGATCCGTCATTGTTGTTCGTCTTCGTGGTTTAATCGATATAAAAGTATAGTAAAAAATGCATACACTCATATGTAACTTGACAATAATTTACAAATGTAGAGGTAATGGCCGGATTAATTTTGACAGTAGTAAGGTATCTGATAAACGATATTTGTTTATGCATTTAATATAGTGCAAGTCAATTGATTTTTATACAGTGGGGGAATTTTTATGCTTCCAGACCTGGTTTTATTTTTTTTATTATATACTTAACAATAATTAAAACAATGTTCTTCATGTAATAACTAACTTCAGTTGCAACATTTTTTATTAGTATTTTCTTTCACAAATGGTATTTTCTCTCCATATAGGTACATACAATCACCGTGTTACAATTGCTACCTTATTGTTCTACTTACTAGTAGTACTTTTAACAGTTAAAGCTATGCCTGTCCTATGTGTTCAGCCCCATACTTCCAGCAGTTTCTACACTGTCGCTAGACTTGTTATATAAAAGTAGTACTTTCTTTCAGTAGTTAGCGCCATAATTACTGAAGAGTCTCAAGCTCAATAATGCATGGAATAGCTACATTATTGCTATACGTGCTATATTAAAGTAGTTGTTTCATTCAAGAATTAACGCCATACCAGTAGTATATTAGGTCCCTTTTGGACCGCAGGCGCAGGCGGACGTGGATGGTGAGGGTGAGGGTGAACAAAGGCTATATAGGAAAATACTCCCCGCCTGGGGGAGGCGGATGGACAATGACATATAGTAAAATACTCCCCCACCTGGCGCAGGGTGAAGGGTGAGGCGGATGGACAACGGGATATAGTAAAATACTCCCTGGGGGAGGGTGAGGTACATCATCATATAGTAAAATACTCCCCCACCTGGGGGATCAGGGTTAAGGGTGAAGGGTGAGGGTTAAACATGTTATATAGTAAAATACTCCCCCAACTGGCGCAGGGTGAAGGGTGAAGGGTGAGGGTGAAGGGTGAGCCTGGCGCAATGAGATATAGTAAAATACTCCCCCACCCTAGGGTGGGGGAGGGTGAGGGGACGTAGGTCAATAGGTCACCACAGGTGACCTTGTGACGTAATCAGAGGTGACCTTGTGACGTAATCACCATCGGTGACCTTGTGACTTGTGATGTAATCAGTGACCTTGTGACGTAATTAGTGACCTAGTTACGTAATTTTAATGCGTTTTTTTTTCACCCTCACCTAATATACTACTCATACCTTCTCTATGCCCCCAGTCCAAGATCCACATTATTGCTAATCTTGTTATATAACTTTCCTTCAAAAATTAACGCCATACCTTCTCTATGTCACCAGCCCAAGATGGCCTTTATCTACATTATTGCTAAGCTTGTTATATAACTTTCCTTCAAGAATTAACGCAATACCTTCTCTATGTCTCCAGCCCAAGACTGCCTCACGTACATGCAGAATGGCAGCGAACTGATCAAAGTCCGGTCCAACAGCCGCCAATACCATCGATTTTTCACACTCAGCAACGATATGACAGAGATACGCTGGCAACCAACCTCCAAGAAACCGCACAAGGCCAGAAGTGAGTTCCCCTGTTGCGTTGTGTCCTTATCTAGATGTACTGTCGTCTGCCTCTGTGGTTGTGGTTGAGTTTGGGTGTGTGGTGTTTATCTTTAGAGTATGTTTTCTAATATTTAGTTTGTATCTGCAGTTGTGTAAAAGGAACCAAGATCTCTCTTAATGTTATTCATGTGTTTTTCCGTTGTGTGTGTGTGTGTGTTGGTGTGTTGTATTCATCTGAAGTGTTAAAAATTAGTTTCTATTAGGAAGTGTAAAGTTATAGGATGGAGGTTCGCCTTTAAAATTATGTTGTGTATATGTGTATAACTGTTTGTTTTATAAGCTATATAAAACACTCCCTTCCACACTCCCTTATATATATATATATATATATATATATATATATATATATATATATATATATATATATATATATATATATATATATGCGCATCCAGTAGCTCTTGGTTTACATATACACATTATAGCAAGGATAAAACGACCATATTTTTTTCCTCATTTTCCAAGAGACAATTTCAGTTTATGGCACTATCGGATTTACCAGGTTAAGCCCGCCAATAATGTCCACAACTTCTGAGAAAAAATATACACTCGCTATCTTTTTACTTTCTCGTATATACGAAGTATAGAGAAAGTATTATAATCGTGCACAAAAATCACTAGAAATTTTAACAATTTTCACCGTATTACACCTCAGTCCTTCATCACATCCGAAGTATAGAGGACTTATTTTAATCGGGCAAAAATGATCAATCCAGATTTATCAAAATTAAGAGGTTTTATGCGTAATCCAGTCTGAAAAACTGGGCTTTGCAATTCTGTCCGTATGTCTGTGTGTCTGTCTGTCTGTCCGTGTGTAAACACGATAACTTGAGTACCGTTACAGCTAGGTTGATGAAATTTTATACATACGTATTTTATCAAAATCGTAGATCCGTATCAACTTTTGAGCGATTTCCGATAACCGGAAGTGGTACTTTTTCTACTTTGAATTTTTCATAAGCCTATAATTTGAGTACTATTTCAGATAGATAAATGAAATGTCACATGTAAGTAAAAGATCTAATTCTCGACCTTCTGTTAAATTTTGAGTAATTTCCATTGACCGGAAGTAGTAATTTACGCTACTTCCGATTTCTCAAAAAACTAATGTAAATTTTTGAAGTACTAATAATATTGCGCACTATTATGCACTTTTTTTATTTGGCGTTCACTTGGTGTGCAATTCTTTTGTCTACGAGATTTTATTCTATTTTTAAAACTTTAAGTATTTAAAATGGATTAAAAATCATGTCTATAGCCCGAGTTCCCATCCCCTGTTGTTTTATCCTAATATATAAATCCCCACGTTCGCACATCTCTCTCTCTCTCTCTCTCTCTCTCTCTCTCTCTGTCCGCAAAAAATTTTCGCCGGACATCACATCAGAATCGGCAGCGATATATCGAGAACTTTTTACGGACTTTTGTTGAAAATAATATGTTAGATGTTTTAAATGTATAACCACAATTTTAGTTAAAGAAGAAAAATAAAAATTAAAGGCGTATTCGAATGTAGAGAAACAGTATTATTTATGCAACCGGAAAAGCATTAATAGATGTGAAAAAGAACGCATAAAACTGTGACGTCACTATTGCTTATACATTAACTAATGACGTCATCTGCCGTGTTTAGAATGAAAAGAAATGAACTATTTCATTCAAATTTGATTTAGATCTACGTACACTATGAAATGTATACAATACAATTTTTCCGGCCTAAACTCATAAAATTTATTTTATGTATTTGGATTCTAGATCTAGAGATTCTAGATCTAGACTAAATCTAAATCTAAATCTACGCAATAACTAGATCTAGACGTAGACGCTAAGATCTACATTTAGACTCTAACTTCTCTAAAATCAATTCCAAAAATAAATTTCTATATTAGGACTAAACTATTTCAAGACTTATTTATTTTATACAAAATCTTTGTTTGGAACTGGCTAATTTGGGATAAAAAATTAATTTGAAAGAATAGGCATATTCGCGTAAGTTAAGATTTTAAAATACGTGTTTCATTCTCCGTATTTTATAAGGTGCCTAAATAGCGGAGATGTTAGTGTACATTAAACCACGCAGGTGGTGCGGGTTCGGGACACAGCAAGTCAACTTGGTTAATTTAATGTATTCTTTTTTATTATGCTCGGGCTAAACTTAAAAAAAAATTCTTTTAGGAATCTAGATCTAGATCTAGATTGTCGGGTGTCCGATAGGGCACTTCCCGGCGCCGCAGGCGCTTCAAATTTGGCTTGGGGCGACAGAACACGGGGGCCGGTTGGCCGAAAAGTCTACGATGTGGGGGTCAAAACTGACCTCGACTGACCGGTACCTTATATGAGCTATAAATCGAAAAAAAATGTCCACGGAGGAACCTCTTCATAACTCTTGAGGTCGTAGACCGACCTTCAGGCGAATTAATTAAGCATTCAAATTCTCAATGTTTTCGAAAGCCTAAGCGAAGCTGGGCAGCATGCCTAGTATAAGAATATTCGAGAAAGTTTAGGGGAGATTACTCCCGGTTTATTTTTATTATTATTAAAAATAAAAACACGAAGATCCAGTTTCTGGATAATGAGATCCCATCAAATCATGCATAAAACCGTAAGGAAAAGGGAAAAAAACACATCTTTAATGTGTGAGGCAGTGACATTTATGTCCGAATATTCGTCGATACTATTCTGATAAAGTGTCGATAATACACTACCAATGCTTTATGGCAGTGCCTCTCATCTGTGGGTGCCACTCCCCGGATAATCTCAGCACAACTCTATCAGTTGGCTCTGAAAATTGGAAGCGATTGAAAGCACGGGATCTGCGGGGGTCTAAATTTTCTGGAATCAATTTACAGCGAGTCACAATGTGTTAAGATGGCCAATAAGGAAAAAACGAAAACTCGTCTGAAATGGCATGAGGAATACAACGTTGATTTTTTTTTTTTTTTTTTTTTTTTTTTTTTGAGTTCTTTAAAAAAAAAAGTTTGTATTTGTTTTCTTACTTGGCCATCAGCAGAGAGAAGAATACAATGGCCGGGGTATAAATAGAGCCCCTGGGGCAGACGGTGAGCAGGTTTACCTTCACGTCGTGTCGGCTGTTTTCTCTCTGCCCAGGCAATTCGCTTTTGGCCTCCGGGCGTTGGCTGAGAAACGGGTCAATTATGTGAACACTGGTGGGGAGGGGGGAGCTTGTAGGTCCACGCAGACAGTCTTTTAAGCTACTTTCATCTTGGTTTCGTTTCAAAAGAAATCAGGACTGTTTTTTTTTTAGTTAAAAAAATTGTAAAAAAAAAATGAAATAGATTAGCGTGTAGGCGGTTGAGAATAGTACAGTAATTTAAATTATAATGAAGGCTGTATTTTCATTTGAATTTTATTTAAAATAAATCATTTTTCAAAAGAAGGTTGAGTGATTTTCGAATTATCTTCACTTGACTCGCCAACACGTTTTCGTCTCTGTAGGAAGTACGCAACAGCAGTTATAGAAATTGTCTCGCGAATTGTCCAAATAAAATGAGTCTTATCAAATAAATCAGTTTTGTACTCAGTGACTTAATAATTATTTTAATCAGGTCGTGAAGTTTAAAAACAAGGAATAATATACTACATAACCCTAACTATTAAAGTAATTACAATTACATATTTTAGTTTAATTTCCGTTTCTGTAATAATTAAATTTGACTTTTTACAAAATCGTGCTTTATTGCTACCTCGCTATAAACACTGCATGAGAATAGTGTAAGGTGCTTCAAAACAATTGCTATATGTCTGCTATATATTGGAGATAAGAATAAAACATTAAAGACATCAGTAGGTTTGAGAGCAAGATGGGTTTTTTTTTTTTTTTTTTTTGGTCTAGGGATTAAGGTTAGTGGGTTTTAGGGTGAAACCATAGTTATATATTTTTTAATCGATTTGATTAAAATATTGATTTTCGCCTTTATAGTATTATCACCGTGTAATATTTTTTTTAACAACCTTGGGGATGGTATGTGGGGCGTGTTCTACCCTCAAACGAAGGCAAGCTCGAGAATTTTAGATTGACTTGACGTCAAGATTGACCCGAAGTCCTTTGTGTTGTTTGTGTTTGTGGACCGAATCGATGCCGGCTTTAGTTCCCACATACAATGCGACCAATCTATACTTCTTCTCCCCGGTACATATTAAAACGTCCCCTGGACGGATTCGATACACGTTTTGATAGTATCGCCACCCGTGTCCCGGCAGTGACCCTAGTCTTAATCCAATCCCAAATACTGACCCTAACCCTGATACTTACCCTTATCCTAAAACTGACCACATCTCTAGTAATTGCCCTAACCCATATCGTATATATGACAACGATACTAGTTGTTAAAAAAAAACTCGATACGATACTTTATTCTTCTGTAGATTTTATAAGCCCCCCCCCCCCTTCCTCCCCTTCCACTCTTATCTTGAAGCAAGCAATCCAGATTTTCTAAAGGGGCTGAAAACTTCACTGGTCACCATGTGATACTACCAGCGGTGGTAGGCGTGTGGGTAAATAGTTGTCTTGATGTCTCGGGTGATCTGGGTGGTCGATTTCAAATCAGCCGGTGGTAGGGCCAACAATAGGGGAGGGGGGGGGGGGAATTGGACGCTTGGGCACCCCGCAGCTCTGGGAGATTAACGCTGGAGAGATAATGTTGTTAGTTGGGTGTGATTGGGGGACTAGGGGGGGGGGTTAGGAGGTGGGTAAGGTGGTTGGTAAAAAGTGGTGGGTTTGAGTGGTTGGTTGGTTATGGTGGTTGGTAATCGTGGTTTGGTGATTGGTAATGGTGGTTAGGGTGGTTGGTAACGTTGGTTGAGTGGTTGGTAGTGGTGGTTGGGGGGGGGGGGTGGTTGGGTGGTTGGTAACGTTGGTTGAGTGGTTGGTAATGGTGGTTGGTAATGGTGGTTGGGGGGTTGGTAATGATGGTATGGTGGTTGGTACTGGGCGGTCGGATG